TAGGGAAAAAAATAACATTCTGGGTATGAAATGGGTATATGAGACTAAAGTGGGTATGTAGGACTCCTGTCTTAATAGGAGCTGTAAGTAATTATCTTAGTAGTTGTTAGAAGACAAAAAAACCCAAGTTATGAACAAAATTGGTGGCCTTCATAAAGATAGCACTTTATGGAATAGTTTATGCTTCCTATTTGTTTTTAGACTCGATTTACCTTGTAGAAAGACACTGAGAGGAGAGATAAAAACTACAAAGCCATTGGGCCAGCAGGTGGCAGAGTATAAGGTGCTGGGCTCCCACATGACCAACCATGGTTCAAGTCCTGGATCTACTGGCTTGATAATTTCACTAGGCACGTGTGTGTCAAAAATTCCAGGAGAAAAATAGAGAAGGGATTGTGGTGTGGCCATCCCCGAGGGGGAGTGATTTCTCACTTTTCCTTTCTCTGTCTCTTTCTGTCTGTCTCTGGAAAGCACATGCAACCCATGGCAAATCCCCCCCCCCACCCCAAGGGGAAGAAAAAAAACCACCAAACTATAAAGCAACAGATATATCCTTAGTTTTCAATTACTAGTGCTTTGCTTAGCTAATAATTTTGTCTTTTTGTAACTATCATTTCTCTCCTTTTATTCTCATCAAAAACTTTTTTCATTTATAAATGTTGTACATTTTTGTTCTATATTGGACTCATTAAGCTATAGAAGTTGTATGTTAAAAAATTAAAAGCAGTTTTCTAAACTCTTTTAGATTTTGCCAATTGGAGATTTTCAGACACAGTTCAATCTAACCACAGATGAAGGTAAGGCATGTTTGGTACTCTAAAGCAGGGGTTGTGGAGACAGTCTTTTTTATTCAACAGGATAAGCCACAGGAAATTGGTTTAGGAGCATTATTTGAGAAAACTAGTAAAATAAAAGATGTAATAGAGGACTACTTGGTGAAATAGATTTCTTTGCTGGGCAGACTTGACTGTTGGTTATAAGGAAAGAAGAGATATTTTATGAAGGAAATAGATTATAATGTGTTTCGTACAAATGGAATCACTCTTTAGGAATATGATGGAGGGTATTTTCTTAGAATTATTTGTTGTTATTATTATTTTTTTTAATTTGCTATAGGTCATGTGCACTCACAAGAGAGAGAGAGAAAGTGAGAAAGCAAGCCACCATGTCTGAGACTCAAACCACAGTCAGCCATGTGGGAGTTCAGTGCCTTAACCACCATGCCACCGGCTGGCCTCAATGGATGTGTTTTGAAATTCTTAAGAATTTTTTTAAGAGAAATTTTTGCTACAGGGCATTTGCTACAGGTGCACTTGCCAGAAAGATAGAGACAGACAGAAAGTGAAAAATCACCCCCTGGGAGCATGGCCACACTGCAGTCCCTTCTCCACTCTCCTCTTGGGATTTTGGGCATGCATGCACACTTGCCTGATGTGAGTTTTAAGCTGCCAGGCTCAGGACTTGAATCATCGTTGACCACGTGGGAGTCAAGTAACGTAATCATTATGCCATCTGTGGTCCCAAAGTTTTGAAGATTTTTGTAGGGTTATGATAGAGCCTCAGATTTCCATTTGAAATACTTGTTAAATTAATGGGTAAATACAGTGTAGTATACTGGGGTCAGGCAATGGAGCAGTGGTAATACAACTGTACCCACATGGGAAAGGCCCTGGGTTCACATACTGGGACCTTCCTGAGCAGGCTGGGCACATGTGCCTGTGGTTCTAGCCAACTTAGACTGGGGGTGGATCACAGCCTTCACACATGAAGATCCTACTTAGGGTGGTCCTCTTAAGAAATAAACTTTTTAAAAAAGGGTAATATCGTACCTATACACAATGGAATTCTGTATAGTCATTCAAAATGGACAAAGTCCTATTATTTGTGGCAGTGGGGAAGAGCCTGAAGGACATTATGTTGTGTGAAATAAACCAGCACAGAAAGATAAATACCACATGGCCTCACTCATAGGCGGAAGCTAGAAAACTGATCTCAGAGAACTGGAGAGTAGAAGAGTGGTTACTAGGGGCTGGTAAGCATAGCAGGTGGAGTGGAGGTTAGAAGGGGTTAACAGATAAGTATTACAGTTATTTAAAAGGAATAAGTTCTAGTTTTCTGTATCACAGTAGTTACAGACTATGATTGTTAAACTATATTGTCTATTTCAAAATTGCTGGAAGAAAATATTGTGAATGTTCCCAAAACAAATGATGAATGTTTGCAGGGATGGATATGCTAACTACCTTGATTTGATTTGATCATTAGACATTGTATACATGCATCAAAAAGTCACATTATACTCCATAAATGTATACGATTATTATGTGTCAATTAAAGCAATAACAAAATACCTGCTAAATTCCTATCTCATACAGTTCTTTATTGTCAGAGATTATCAGTTGATTGATTTATTTCATTTGTAAGTTTTGAATGAGCATCAGGAATATGTAGAGAAACCCAGCCACAGTAACAAAGGCAGTAGGTGCCAGTTTGCAATGCTGGAAACCACGTGGAAGGCCCGAGGCTTGGGTTCTGGATCAACCTAAGCACTGTAGGCACACACACCTCAGATCCTGGCTGGCTGGAAGATTGGGAGAGGGGAGGATTGCAGAATGATGAGATCCTGCCTGTCAAGGGAGCTTGTCTCTCTCTCTCTCTAACATACATACAGCAAAGAAAGGAATTAAATAAGCTTAAAAATTTATGAACAACTGATAGAATTTTTCAGTTATGTTTGAATCTTCAAAGTCACATTTTTTTTTTTTTTAATTTTTGGCATGGGGTAAGTGCTTTTACCAGAGAAAGACAGTGAGAAATCATCTCCAAGTGGGGATGGCCATGCTGCAATCCCTTCTCCTCTACTCTCCTCTCGGGATTTTGAGCATGCATGTACACACAACCTGGCGTGATTTTCAAGCCACCAGGTCTAGGACTCAAACCACAGTCAGCCATGTGGGAGTCTAGCACCTTAATCGCCACACTGCCCACTGGCCTTAGTTTGTGATCTTTAAGTTACTCAGTTCACACTTTTTCCCTGCTGGACTAAATTTTGCATTAACCCTGTCCTGGACCTGTCCATGTAAAATCTCTACTATGAAGGTCAGAATTAGAGAAATTTTTGATATTCCCAAGATGGCAAAGTATCACAGTGAAAGATGACACTCAGAATTGGGTAGGTCTGAGTTTAATATGAGCTTGGGAACTATGTAAGTCCATAAAAGTATTCCCTATAAGCTGCTGTTTCTTCATCAGTAAAATGGGTATATAACCCTAATTTGTAGGGAGATGTGCAAATCGATTAGAGGATGTATAAAAAGAACTCCAAAAGTATGTGACACTTGGGAAAAGGATAATAAACTGCATCCACCAGAGGTCTTCAGGAAACCCATGAAAAAACTACTCATGCATTTTGAAATTTTTTGCACCAAAATAAAGTTGTGCTTCAATTTCATTTTCCATGAACTTTTTTAAGCTTCCTTATGCATGGTTACTGTTTCATTCAGTTTAGTCTTATGATTCCAGTTCTGATTTTTCTTTTCGTTTTCTAAATGTGCGTATCATCCAGAAAACCTACAAGGGATTGTTCCGAAGAATAAGTAGTTTAAGTAATGCTAAAGAATTTTTGGAAGTGGAAGTCCTGATTGATTGGAATTTCTAACAGTTTCCTGTTGTGTCCTCTTGTGATATACTGATATATCATTGATCTTTCAGTGTATTTATAGACAAGAATAATAGTAATCCCCACTTGTTTCATATTTATGGTTCTGCTCTATGCAAATCTTTTTTTTATAGTTAAGAATACGTTTTCAATATGATTAAGTAGAGGAAAGGGTTAGATGCGTTTATGGTTGTGTATTATCAGATAGTGCATACTAACGACATTTATTGGTGGTTTCATTTTTCCCTCTGCAACCCAAGAGAAGGTGATTAAACGTGAAACTTTACCCTATGGAAGGCCCAGAGTTCTGCAGAAGAAACATTCCGTCTGTCTTCTTTATCAGCACCAGTTTGTGAGTGGATACAGTCGTGACATCCACATGCCACTCTGGACGTCCTACACTGTCGACAGAAATGCAAGTATTTGTCACCCCGGAGGCTCTGTGTGGCTGTTTTGCATCGTCATTAAGCAAAATGCTGAAAGCATAATTTCTCACTGTTCATCTTGGTTCTAGAATCGTTCCCAAGTTAGAGAAACTCAGAAGGAAGAGTCGGAAATGTTCGGTTCTGGTCCTCACCACTAACTGGCTATGTGACTTTGAGACTCAGAGGCTAGTTCTGTGAAATGAGGGATGTGCAGGAAAGGATTCTCTTGTTCTCTGTTTTTCCTGTTTAATATTTTGTGGTTCTGTTTTATCATTTCATGAAATCAGTTTTACAATCAGTCACGATAATGTATTTTTAAAAACCCATACACCCTCTTTGGGAAGACCCAGCCCACACTAGGGAGAGGCCAGAATCTTGCCCACTGTGAAGACAAGAAAAATTAAGCTCTGAAAGAGTGAGGACAAATGTCCCAATACAACCAGCATTCCTCCTACTCCCAGTCACCTTGTGTCCTGTGAGGAGTGGAAAGAAAAAGGGTGAAAGACTTACTCCTTAAAAGAGAGAAGTGAGGGAACCAGCAGTTGGCGTAATGGCTATGTCGCTGGACTCCCACGTAGTCAACCGCGGTTCGCGTCCTGGACCCAGTGGCTTTTGATATTCCCAAGATGGCAAAGTATCACAGTGAAAGATGACACTCAGAATTGGGTAGGTCTGAGTTTAATATGAGCTTGGGAACTATGTAAGTCCATAAAAGTATTCCCTATAAGCTGCTGTTTCTTCATCAGTAAAATGGGTATATAACCCTAATTTGTAGGGAGATGTGCAAATCGATTAGAGGATGTATAAAAAGAACTCCAAAAGTATGTGACACTTGGGAAAAGGATAATAAACTGCATCCACCAGAGGTCTTCAGGAAACCCATGAAAAAACTACTCATGCATTTTGAAATTTTTTGCACCAAAATAAAGTTGTGCTTCAATTTCATTTTCCATGAACTTTTTTAAGCTTCCTTATGCATGGTTACTGTTTCATTCAGTTTAGTCTTATGATTCCAGTTCTGATTTTTCTTTTCGTTTTCTAAATGTGCGTATCATCCAGAAAACCTACAAGGGATTGTTCCGAAGAATAAGTAGTTTAAGTAATGCTAAAGAATTTTTGGAAGTGGAAGTCCTGATTGATTGGAATTTCTAACAGTTTCCTGTTGTGTCCTCTTGTGATATACTGATATATCATTGATCTTTCAGTGTATTTATAGACAAGAATAATAGTAATCCCCACTTGTTTCATATTTATGGTTCTGCTCTATGCAAATCTTTTTTTTATAGTTAAGAATACGTTTTCAATATGATTAAGTAGAGGAAAGGGTTAGATGCGTTTATGGTTGTGTATTATCAGATAGTGCATACTAACGACATTTATTGGTGGTTTCATTTTTCCCTCTGCAACCCAAGAGAAGGTGATTAAACGTGAAACTTTACCCTATGGAAGGCCCAGAGTTCTGCAGAAGAAACATTCCGTCTGTCTTCTTTATCAGCACCAGTTTGTGAGTGGATACAGTCGGGACATCCACATGCCACCCTGGACGTCCCACACTGTCGACAGAAATGCAAGTATTTGTCACCCCGGAGGCTCTGTGTGGCTGTTTTGCATCGTCATTAAGCAAAATGCTGAAAGCATAATTTCTCACTGTTCATCTTGGTTCTAGAATCGTTCCCAAGTTAGAGAAACTCAGAAGGAAGAGTCGGAAATGTTCGGTTCTGGTCCTCACCACTAACTGGCTATGTGACTTTGAGACTCAGAGGCTAGTTCTGTGAAATGAGGGATGTGCAGGAAAGGATTCTCTTGTTCTCTGTTTTTCCTGTTTAATATTTTGTGGTTCTGTTTTATCATTTCATGAAATCAGTTTTACAATCAGTCACGATAATGTATTTTTAAAAACCCATACACCCTCTTTGGGAAGACCCAGCCCACACTAGGGAGAGGCCAGAATCTTGCCCACTGTGAAGACAAGAAAAATTAAGCTCTGAAAGAGTGAGGACAAATGTCCCAATACAACCAGCATTCCTCCTACTCCCAGTCACCTTGTGTCCTGTGAGGAGTGGAAAGAAAAAGGGTGAAAGACTTACTCCTTAAAAGAGAGAAGTGAGGGAACCAGCAGTTGGCGTAATGGCTATGTCGCTGGACTCCCACGTAGTCAACCGCGGTTCGCGTCCTGGACCCAGTGGCTTAGAACTCACGCCGGGCGCGTGTGTGTGCGTGCCCAAGATCCCGGGAGGAGAATGGAGGAGAAGGGATTGCGACGTGACCATCCCCCCTGGGGGGTGATTTCTCGCTTTCTGTCTCTGTCTCTCTCTGTCTGTCTGGCGAGCACACATGCCCTATAGTGAAAACCTCTCAAAAAAAAAAAAAAAAAAGAGAGAAGTGAGAGGAGATGAAATATAGCTCTTACATGGAATTGAAGTTTTCAATGAAACTGACCAGATTTTCAGAAACTGAACATGACTTGCATGCTATATAACACCTTTAAGGGATAAAAGGGGGGATTTGAACAAGCTTTATTGAGGGTAGCAGTTGGATTAAAAAATAAAATTATCACTGAGATCCCTAAACAAAAAGATAGGAATATATGTGTGTACATGTAATATCTGTGTTTAAAATGTACATTATATACATGCATATCACATCTTTAGAACTTTTTTTATTTTTGAAGACTGCCTTCAAACACTTTAGATTTTTTTTAAAATTTGGCCACTGTTTCATAGGCATGCATCCTATTTAGTATTGTTTAATACCTTAAACATGGTGTTCTTTGATCCTGCTTGAATTTTCCATTTTCTTATAGAATTAAAGTTGCACGAATTTACAGTCATGACTACTCCTAAGGTTTTTACCTCGCTATTCAGTTGCTTTCCTTCCATCCCCCAACAACTTTTGCCTGTGTAGTTGAATATGGAAAGTGGAATCACTTCTGTAAAAATCAGCATTTTACTATATAAAATTGTGTACATAAAAACATTATAAACAAAACTATACAGCAGACTAGGAAATTATTTGCACAATATGACAAATAATTAATTTTTTTCTTTCTTTTAAAAATTTATCACCACAGGGCACATGTACCCATCAGAGAAAGAAAGAATAGAAAAGAAGAATCACCTTCCAGCAGGGTGGATGTGGTCATGCCACGATTCTTTTCCTCCTCTCCTCCATCTCATCAGGATTTCAGGCACACACACACATGTGCCTGGCATGTTTTCTAAACTGCCAGGTCCAGCATTTGAACCCCAGGCAGCCATGTGGGATCCAGCTCCCTTTGCACATAGCTTAACCACTCTGCTACTGTGCTGGCCCTCATGAATATTTCTGGTGTTATAAAGTTTTGCATTTCAGTTAGAAAAGATTAAAACCTCATCAAAAAAAATGGTGACAATGTAGACAACTGAAGCGCCATAATTTCATGATGTAGTTCTCCTTTAACTTGGTGGATAGCAAGTGCCTTCTCTGTGCCCGACACCTCATGATCCTTGCATTTTGTTCTTCAGGACAGTTTTTCTGCAGTGGACTTTTCCAACTGTCTCTATCAGGACCTTCGAATTTCGCTTAGTCCTGTCCATAAGTGTTCATTTTATAAAAATAACACTAGGCTGAGTTACGGCTTCCTGTCCCCACCACGTAAGTTTCTCCTTCCCCTGCCACTTCCCTCTTGTTCCTTTTTCTTATTCTCTTCTCTCTTCCTTTTCTTTGTCTTTCTTATTTATAAATGTAGTAAACCTTAGAGAGCAATGTAGAGGGCCTTGTTTATTTCTTGGTGAAAATTGTGAATTAGAATAATAGCTCTTAGGGAAAAAATTCCTAATACATCTAAAATTTGAATTTCATAAAACGTTTTATTTTTGTTTGGTAGGCAGGATTTAGTGCAGCTACCGCAGGTAGCTTTTTTATTGACATTTCTCTTCATTAGAATCCAAGACAATAGAAGTGAAGTTGGGAGGATGCTTCAGGGTGAGGAAGCTGATACAACTTTGCTGTTGAAAAAGAAAATGTGTTAAAAAAAATTGGAAAAGGAAGAGACTTAAGTGTATACATTTTTTGACTGATAGAAAGCTTGTAGGAAATGGCTTCTTTGAGGCTAAGTGTTCTATTTTTTGAAGTGGCAAAGTTGTATGTTAGTGAGAAGACATTTGGGGACCAACCTTATAAAGCAAAATTTTGAAGCCTCCAGGTGCTCAAAAACCCTCCACATCAGTCCAGTCCTGAGTGTCTGAAGTCAGAACTTGGCGGCTGCATTACAAAAATAGACCATGTCCAAGACTCAGATTCATACAAAGAGGCCTTGTACGCATTTCAAGGCAGACATCCTGTCAGGTTTTCTCTGGAGAGTAGGTGGTGTTCCAAAGCCAGATAGTCTCTTGTTTCTTTACAGTCTGAAAAAGTTTAAGGAAAGAAGATTATCCACACAATGTGTTTTAGTTGAAGTAAGGCCAATAAAGTTGGAGTATGTTTAATTTAACACTCTTCTTATTAAAGCTTCAGTGTATTTGGTAAATTCATTTTGAAAGAGAAAAGGTTTGAGTATTTTTTTAAAGCATTGACCAAACGTGTTTTCCCTTGACCCATTACCTAGGAAAGTTTTACAAGTTTAAGATGATAGTTTCTTAAAATGCTCCCTCCTACCTTGAGAAATGATGAATATAATTTCTAATGTTATTTGAGAAGAATAAAAGAGTTGTATTTTTTTTCTTTGTAGAACTAAATATAGATTCAAATCAAATAAATTCTGAAGCTTTGCTGACTACCAACATAGTTCCAATGTACCAGAGTTTTCAAGGTAAAAACAAAACAAAACAAAAAACCTCTCTCTCTCTCTCTCTTTCTCTCTCTCTCTCTCTCTCTCTCTCTCTCTCTATATATATATATATATATATA